GACATGTTGTACCTTACAATACAAGATTATTTTTGAAGTACTATGCATATATTAACATGGAATAGTGTAACCAAATTACATCTATCAAATATCTATTCAGGTATATACACAAAGGATTTGATAGAATCACAACGATAATTTCAGCTACAAAGTCCAACTCGGGGAACGACAAAGAGCCAGTTGATGAGATCAAACAGTATCTGGATTGTAGATATGTGTCCCCAAGTGAAGCGTGTTGGAGGATTTACTCTTACATTATTCATGGCAGGAAACCAGAGGTGGAACGTATGTTTTATCATTTAGTAGGTGAAAAAGTGGTTTACTACCCCGATCACGCCAGAATGGAGAATATATTGGAAAAATCAAGTGTGACGGAGTCAATGTTCACTGCTTGGTTAGTTGCTAACGGGAAATACGAAGACGCATGATCACTTACCTATGGTTAATTTGTCTCTGGATTTGTTTATGAAAAAAGGACAAGAACGTGGAAACCGCATAAAAGGGGATTCACCATTGGCCGTTTGATATGGGTTCCATCCAGCACTGGAGAGCTATTTTATATGTGAATGATGTTGACGGTCGTGAAGGGACACTCAACATATGAAGAAATTTACAAAGTTGGTGACACTCAATTTGATACTTTTAAGGATGCCTGCTTTGCAATGGGCTTTCTTGAAAACGACCGAGAATACATTGGTGCAATAAAGGAAGCGAGTGAATGGGGTTCGGCTCATTTTCTCCGCAAGCTTTTCGTAGTTATACTTTTGTCCGACGTTGTCAATAGGCCTGCTCATGTTTGAAATGAATCATAGATGCTATTATACTCTTGGCTCACAATACAGGTTGTGCCCATCTATCTAATAATAGCTTGTGTTTTACATTGAAACATTGATTACTATTGCCTCGTGTATTAATAAACCAGGCATCATTTCGGTTGTCGAACGACATATCATGTATAAAAATTATTAAGCCTAACATTATGTTTCCAATGGCTTTACCAAACTGTCAAAGTAGTCCATCGTAGTAAACTATTATGCCTTTGTAATTGATTTTAGATCTACATTAAATCCTGCTTCATAACTAATTATTCAAAAAGGCATCATGACAGGTTCTAAAACCTTATAACATGTATCATAAATATCAAGCCTACGATAACTTAAAGTGAGATTCACAAACTACTTCAAACTTCTAATTATGTTGTGACTGTAATCCATGCTTCTAATAAACCATACATTTTATGTTTGTTTTATGTACTTAACTCATGATTACTAACTCTAAAATTATCTTGTGTTGTGCTCTCAATGGAGCAGAATTGTTTTTGACTGAGGAGCAGTTGGTGAATTTGACTTTAACTGAGATTGAAAAATTACTTCAAGCAAATCGACGAAGTCTCACTGTTTTTAAACCAATTCCATATCCAGCGGGTATGTTCTACAATAATTAGGCAACCGACTAATATATGTAGATTGAAGTTATGATGTGTCTACAATGAGATCCGAATTCGCAAACCTTTTCAATGCTCTGACAATATCATACTTATTATTCTTGAATCAATTGCCAGTTACCTTAAATTCATCTCATGCGTTTATTTTTGCTGACTTTTCCTTAGATGAGCAAAGGACAATCTTTGAAAAAATTATGGCATTTGTCTATGCTTAAAAGGCTGGGGTGTTCTTCCTACATAGTTACGGGGGAACCGGAAAAACTTACATGTGGCGAACACTTGCAAGTGTTTTGAGGTCCAAACATGATATATGTTTAACCGTGGCAACGAGTGGAATTGCTTCTCTGTTATTGTCCGGTGGCCAAACTGCACATTCTAAATTCAAGATACTCGTGCCAACAATGGAAAATTTGACCTGCAAAATTGACTATGACGATGATGTTGCAGAACTTCTAAGGTAAACAAAGCTTATTATATGGGATGAAGCACCCATGACACACAAGCATGCTTTTGAAGCACTCGACCGAACTTTGAAGGATGTAATGAGTATGTACAGTAATTCGAAGGACGTGTTTTGTGGCAAGGTAGTTGTATTCAGTGGTGATTCTAGACAGGTTTTCCCGTTGTTGCCAAAGGGAGTTGTTCTGATATCGTACACTATACAATAAATGCATCTTACATATGTCGGTCGGTCCAAGTTTTAACTTTAACCAGAACATGCGACTGTAATCTGACCCAAATGACTATGAAAAGTTAGAAATAGAAGAGTTCTCAAAGTGGCTGTTGAAATTGGTGAAGGCAAACTTTGTGAGCCAAATGATGAATTTGCCAGACATTGAGTTGTCACTGAAACTTTTAATTACAGATTATGACGACCCTATTATTTCCATCGTTAATAGTACATACTCTGATTTTATCCTTCATTACCAATCCAACGACTACCTCAGAAGTTGTTTATCAGATAAACGATCACGTCCTTGACTTGATGCCAGGTAGTCATTCTCTACCATTACGTGTTAAATCCCTGTTATATTAATTTAATTCACTAACATACCAATCTTTCTTATTTAGGGGAGATCAAGGATTGCTATAACTCAAACTCTATCGATAAGTCTGAAATTCATGACACCAATGTAGTCGATATCCTCACCCCTGAGTTTCTTAGTTCACTAACTACTTCAGGGTTACCTAACCATCACATTAAGTTGAAGGTAGGAACACCTGTAATGCTTATGTGAAATATAGATCAGTCGGAGGGTTTGTGTACGGCACTAGGGTAATGATAACTAAGATAGCCAACCATGTCATCGAAGCGGAAATAATGGCTGGAAAAGGTTGTGGAAACTTGGTCTACATCTCTCGAATGGATATCTCACCCTCGCAATCAATCCCCTTGGCCTTTCAAACTTAAACACCGTCAACTCTAAATAGTGGTCTCATATGCAATGACGGTCAACAAATCTCAAGGACAATCTCTGGATACAGTGGGACTTTACTTTCCAAGAGACGTATTCACTAATAGTCAAATCTATGTCGCACTATCAAGGGTCACAACCAAACAAGGAATAAAAATATTGGTATATGATGAAATCGACAAGTTAAAGTCGATTACTATCAACGTTGTTTACAAAGAGGCTTTCAATAATATATAGATGTTTCCTATTTAAGGTAACACTTTTTGTACATTTTCGTTGAATTTCTGATTTCATCTTACAAGTTGGTGGCCAATTCCTTTTTAACTGTAATTCAAACTGCATCTCTATTTATGCAGTAACTATAAACAACTGCCACACTGATGACAACATGCCTTCCATTGTGTTTTGTATATCAGTTGGTACTGTAACATTTTTTGTGGGTGTTCACATTGGGTTTCAAATTTTTACGTTTTAAGTCAATGTGGGTTTATGTACAATATCAATTACAAAGCAGGAATATCAAGATGTCTTTTATCTTCATACCATAAAGACATAATTTAAATATAATTTATTCGCTACCATGTTTCCGATACAACTACATCTTACGCTTACGGAAATAAATATACATAGCATGTTTTGTCCAAAGAAGTAACATCAAACCTAAATCGAAGTCTACCTCCGGCTTTGAAGTTATTGGACTTGCAGAATTTGTCTCACCCATATCCTAACTTTGTGTGGCGAGGGTATGCAATTTGGGACAGCGACATGAATTTATTATTCTCGTTGTCACCACACATCACAATATCTTCATATCCATTGTCTCTAAGTACGGTTGCAAAGTCCTCCTACAATTCCTACATTCCAATTATGATTTAGTTGTTGATGTTCTAATATATATATATATATATATATATATATATATATATATATATATATATATATATATATATATATATATATATATATATATATATATATATATATATATATATATATATATGACATATTCACGCACAAATTAAAACAGCCAACTTAAAGACAACTCAACTAATTTCGGAAGATCTACGCTAAACGGGCTCAAAGTGACATCAAAAACTTATATGTCCTTGTGAAGAAAGTACCTACTGTGAAAATGCGGTAAATTCTGGGGTCTCACCACCTCCTTAAATGATAAAATTTCATAGTTATTGTTACCATAATAATCGACCCACATGACTACTTCTGAAGATAGATTGTATACGATTCCATACAAGGCCAATCACTTATAATGAGCGGATGAAACTCTTTTTGATTATAGATCAGTTTGTGGTGTACACCTTGATTATTCATGATGGTCCAACATTTTAAAATTTGGTCTCCATGACTTTTCACAAAAGAGGGGTCAATTTCTGGATACAACTGCAAAGATAAAATATACACACAATCATCCATGAAATAAGTAAATGTAAATTTTTACCAATCTTAAAACAAGATTAATTCAACCAAATAGAAACTAAATCTGTGATGATATCTTGGCGACTAAAAAATAGTCTATCATGTCTGAATGTTTAAGTATGCCGCAAAGATCCATTATGAAGTTTCTCTACACATCCTGGTTTTTAAAAATATTGATGGAGAAGTGTTGTAACTTCAGTTTATACGGTTTCAAGCCTTATATTTATTGCTTAACATTGCACAACATCACATGGTGCATACATGGTGCATTCAGGTGGTTACGGTAACAAAAAACAATGGCATTTGGAATCTTTTGTCTTTATGTCCCCAAAAGAATATGTTCCACACATGTGTACAATTTTTGTCAATTACACACTTTCAAAGGCAAACACACGTGTGAACTACATGATTGTGCCATATATAATCACCTTTTACTATTTGTTGGCTTTTATTTAATCAATTTCGGATTCACCTTTTACACTCTTTAGTATGTTAGATAACATTTACTATCAACAACGTATATTAATTTTTGGACAGATTCACTTATAACCTTTCTCAGGGATTCACATGCCAACTCTTTTTGGACCACAATCCCTCATGACTGGTTTTACTAAACAATGCCAAATTTGCAATTCTTATAATTTAACTTGAAAGCAATTACAACAGAAAACATTCAAACATTATTCATAATTACATTTAACTATGGAATGCAGGATGGTTTCGACATTATCAGCCTAAAATATATTCCATCCCAAGCAATGCCAATCAAAAGTATTAAATATACATCATGTTCATATCCGATAATTAGTCAGGATAACAAACCACAATTCCTACGCATCACATACAAAACGAACTACATAACCAGTAGACTTTCAGGATCGGCGTCTACAGACACGGAACCTACCACCAATGCATTCAATTTGACGAATTCTTATGTTTCAAAACCGTGACCACCAATTTTTCAGACGAAGGGACCCTCAAACTGAATCCAACCATGTCACCTATTTTGAGCTTCCGCTTCCTTACGAATTTGTACCATTCACTGCCTATAAACATCTCTATGCATTTTTCGCATTGTGAAAGGTGCAACACACAATTGGTTTCCCCGCCGAGGTCTGAATCAACAAGAATAATGTCCTCGTGCCCGACCATTAGACAGTCTTGAATCACTTTTTGAGGCAGTTGCTGCATATTCAAAAGTTCTTGATATCAATTAAACACTTTCTATAATCAGATAAAGAACTCTGTTTTTGTATACTGAGAGACTTACAAGGATATTTTTGCTTGCAACCCTTCCCTACATAATCTTCCTTCTCCATACATAGACCCTTCCAAGTAAACCAAGAACTTATTTCCTCACCTCGTAGTCATCCCAACAGTTCAACAGTTCTTCGTCACTGCTTTCCTTATCAGAACTGCAACATCAATTTTTACATGTTAAAATGAATCTACCATTTCGTAAGCTAACTCATTATATTTTACTTCATGTATCAAACCCTACTATAACAACAACTTTTTTAATACGATTCTATAGTAAGGGATGTTCATATACTACCTATAGCAAACAATTAATCTTGCTCATAACATTTAACATCATTTGCAAAACCCTAAAGTATCATTTGGTATTTTTTAACATTCACACAAGAGTATAACCATTAACTACAATTCTTGTACAAACTTACCCTTCGAATGAAATCACCGTCACATGTCTCCGATTGGAAAACTACCGAAAAATTGAGCCGAAATCATGGAGGAATCCTCGAAAGACATCGTCAAACTTTGTGACTTTACTGATTTGTGATACCCTAACACTACCGGATAAGCGTGTTACTAGGGAAAACATTCTTTTTGTTTTACCACAGAAATTTTGGACTTGGCTGATTCTCTATAGACCTATACTCTTATTCAGACCCATTTTAGTAAAGTTCTATTAAAAATTCTAAATAACTAATTATACTAATTATACTAATTAATTGTTAATATAATTCTAACAATTATATTTTACAATATTATCTTATATTAATTTTGATGCAAAGTATTTATTTCTTTATTTTTGGTGTTTTGTTCCTAAGTAGTTTTTGACATAAATTATGTTAATTATTTATTTCCCATATGATATTTATTAATTTTAATATGAATTTTGTTGTATTAAAAAAATATATTGCGTATCATACGAGAATTTGTGCGAATACACGAGTTTATTATTAGTATTAATTAAAAACCTTAAGATATTGAATCTATGTCTTTTCACTTAAAAAAATTCAATATCCTTTTTTTTCATCGAATTTGAGAATTATTATCCACACTTGATATACTAACATCTTACTACTCAAAAATCAAATTATATATTATTTTCTTGATTTTATTTTGATTCTATAAGATTTTAAATTAACATGTGATTTTAAAATTTTACTTTATATGACAAAATTTGATTAATACATATTTTAAGGGAGTAAATTATCTCTAAATTTACAAAGAATAGCCAAGAATTTCCTTTAAATGAATAATTTTTATAAAGTTGATTATCATTAAAAGTGAAATGAATACAAACAAATTATTTTATCTAAACAGTGGTAGTAGCTTCAGACTTAATGCGCAATGCCAATGTGGGTTTTCACGTTTTCAAACACATGATTTAGTATTTGTTTGGTTCAGTGCTGGCAAGAATTAATTTTAACCGAATTGATCTTAGTAGAACATGTCCAAATCTATTTTACTCTTGAGAAAGTCGAACATGTCAAAATCTATTTTGCACCTAATTTGCCCCTCTAGAATTACTTTTGACCCCTGCCAAAATAGAAGCCAAACATATAATTTTACTAGACATGGAAGCTAGAAAAACCAACTTCACATTTCGAATTACCCAATCATCAACCAGTAAACTCAAATTGTGGTTGCCCGTTTGAGACTCTTTGACGCAGAACCAAACAAACACTTACACATTAAATGAGAATCGCTTTGCTTAAAGCACTTCAATAGAACAAAAATGATAGTTGTTTGTTTTGGGACTTATTTTCATGGTTTGTCAAAAATAATGAAAGAAAGGAAAATAGTGTGATAATTTTGTAACAAATAATAAAGACAGAAACCCCTTAGGTCAGCACTGGATACTTTTAATACTGGAAACACCTCTCTAATAATGGTTTATAATCTTTCATCTGTATCACTCTAAAGATCAGCTAACTAAACTGAAATCAGAAATGTTACGGAAATCAGAAATTTTACGCAAAAACATTATTTGGTAACGTTGTTGTCTTTCTTTGTTCGACAACAAAAATGGGATAAAAGTACCTGCATAATGTTGAAGTTATATAAGAGGATCCTACATGTTTGGAATTAATACATAGCCTGAAAAGAAAACTTCTATAGACCGTTTCCTTGAAATCTTGGCGCCATAACTTTCACCAGGTCTATGATTCGAAAGTAATCATAAAAGAGAGACGATTCTGAGCCTTCAAGTCCAGTCCGGGTTACTCTGTTGCTTCCAGCCAGATTATTACATGGACTCCCACCAACAATAAGATCAAAAGCACCAAATGTGCTCATCAGCTGCTCCAAACGATCAGCATCTAGCTGTTGCACATCATCCATATCAATCAAATTGCCTCTTTGATTAGTTTGCTCCCACCAACTTCTGACAATGTTCCTGTTCACTTCCGATTTTTCAACCGACACAACAGTCTTTAGAGGGATACCAAGCCGATGGAGAGCTACCTCTGCACCACCAATTCCAGAAAAGAGAGAGAGAACATTGATCCCATAAGGAAACATTTCCTTGAGAACAGATAGGTGGTATGCCACTGTATCAACCTGAAGTATATTGAACATATAAGGAAAGAGAATTGTACACTGGAAACTTAAATGCATAAACCACAAGTTTCTTTTATAGAGCAAAACACTAATTTGCCATCAGAATCTAATGTAAAGTTTCATAGAGAAAACAGAAAATAAATAGTACTAGACATATTTTTTGGCACTTTGATAAAATTATTCTGAATACAATATGAAATACCCAAATGCCACTGATATGTTGTATCAAAAAGCAATTCCTTGTAGAGGCTCATTGTATCAAAATCTACTTTAATGTTTTACTCTTAAGTTTATTGGTCTTACTCAACTCCTATACCTTATATTCTGAATATGAATTAAATTTACTTAAAACATCTTATATAATTCCACCTAGATATTTATTATTATGGCGGGAGAGGTAAACACAACCTGGCACTGATGCCTCGTGATTGAAATTAAAAACAGATTTAGATTATGAATAGAAAAAATGTATTGTTACCGATGAACAGAAAGAGTACACAAATTACCACCAAATAAGCCTCTTATGCTTTATTTATTTCTACCGACTGACTCCACATAACTAACTAAGCCTCTTAAATAAGAGATATATCAGAAAATGGAGTATTTCATACCTGAAAAGAATTTCCAAGCGATTTGAATCTGTCAGTCCTACTAATTCCACCACCTCTTGTGTGATTCCTAGGGAAGCCCAACAGCATTTCCACTTCGTCGGGCTCTAGGGGGGCAACTTTATTCTTGCCCACCCAAACTAAATTCCATTTCCGACATTGCTCCAAAACAAACTTCTTGACATTTTCAGGGGGGTCGTCAAAATCCTGTAATTGTTCTACCGCTTTCCTGATTCTCTGAGTCAGTTTTGCACTGCCATGTACAGTTTGCAAGCAATTAAGCTTAGTTCTGGGATCCCATGATGGCCACCATTTCTTCAAGAAGGGGAATGCATCAAGTATTGTGCGAGCTGGAAGAGGTAAAAGTGGAAACCTATTCGCAATGGGGAGATTATGGATGTATCCCCTTTTCCTGGCTGCAGCACAAAAATATTTGGAGTCAACATACTCCGGCTCCACGTCGTACAAAAACCTTGAAATGGTTTGCCAAACACCTTTCGGGGTCAACGCCACATTCTCGTAATAGAAGTAAGGGGGACCGCTAGCATCGTGAGGCAGTCTCCTATATGTGATTATGGAGCTTGGATCGGTGGGAATCCCAAACCCCACCATTGGATTAGGCAGATGAAGTGCTTGGGCCTCATCCTCATCGTCACATGATGTTCTCTTCTCAAGCACCTTTGGCCTTTTCCTTCCCAGCACTTCATATTCATACAGACTCCTCTTTCTTGGTTTTGTATGCCCATTGCATTGTGGCTGTCAAGAATTAATTTTAAAGTAATAGATGAGTGGAATATCAAATCATTGCAAGGAAAAACCTCAGAAAAATATATGCAAAAACTTACTACCTTTTCTTCAGGAGGCAGAAGTGCATCCTCAGATTTTACCAGTTGAGCAACACTGATAAAATCCACCAGCTCTTCAAGAGAGGAGTTTGGACCTACAGTATTTACAAGAAAAGTGAGGAAAATGAAACGGCCTGATTTCAGTTTATACTATATAAAAAAACTCAGTAATTGCAATATCATTTCAACTTTTTTCCTACATGTACTTGTTATAAAGTTCATAAAAAGGCTCCAAGTTGTTTTTTCCGAGGGATGGAAACAAGGTATTGGAAATCAATTGAAGATGGTGAAATATTCAACAAGAACCAATTAAAGCAAAAGGCTCTAGTGTTTTTACAAAATAAAATATCGAAAAGCCTAGAACAGATACAATAATCAATAATATGAAGCACACCTAATCTTTTTACGGCCATTAAAGCTTCCTCTTCATTGAATCCCATTTTTACTAGGGACAGTAATGTATCATCATTCTCAGAAAGACATGATTTTGGCATTTCCTGCAAAAAAACAACAATCAACCCATAACTCAAAATACATAGCCTACAACTTAAAAGCAAGTGGAAACATGACAAAGATACTTTCATTTTTCATTGAAGTGGGTGAAAGAGAAATTTAAGTTACTCAGAATCTGCCCAAAGAAGAAATACAGACCATACGAATTTATCTAATGTTTCAAAAAAAAAAGTATCAAGACCATCATTGCATACTCTACAGTCTACAGCAGACTAGAAACAATCAGAGTAGATGACACTAAGGACACAAAATAGCATGATGATAAGATGAATCAAGTAGAAAACATGAAATACAAAATGTCAAAACACAGTGAACAGTGTTTACTTCATCAGAAAAAAAATCTTCGTCTGATGAATCATCCCAGGAGCTCGCTGCATACTCGGAAGAAGTGGGATCTGGTTCTACTTGCTGTTGCTGCTGAGAAGAACTTTCTAGCTCCTAGAAACATGAAGAAAAACAAAAATTACAAAGACAACTATGACATTGGCAACCAAAGTTGATTAAACATGCATATAGTACATTGAAAATTACAGAAAAAGCTACAAAAAGGTCAAAAAGAACCAAAGAGGTGAAACGGGGGAAGAAAGGAGCTAACGAATAATGCCCCAAAACATATGCATGTATATTAGCACATGTTGACATAATATTAGCTACCTGCTTGTTTTGCCTTTCCAAGGACCTACAAAATTTTTTTGGCAATATTGCAAGCAAGTTCTTAAAAGAAATTAAAGCAAGCACCGCCACAGGCCTATGGATATCATTGAGATTGGTAAAATACTATTTCAACTGTATCAAGGTAGTAGAATCGATGAAAATAGAAACTGAATCACTGATGCAGTATTGAATTAGGGAATGGCAATTACGGTATGAAACAGAATAGAAAGAACATCTGAAAGGGTCACTACTAGCCTAGCCAAATGGCTCCCTACGAAGAGATACATTCCCTCTGATCAATTCTCTAATCAATAACAGAATTATATGATCATTCCTATCTCTCCTCGTTATTTCTGGTATAACTAACTTCCTTACCTCACTCTCCAGGCACATTCTTACTCTCCAGACTCAAGACTCCTAACCTTCTCACTTTTCTGTGATTCACTCAGCATTTCTTGGGCCTAGCCTTGTTCTCCTTAAGTGCGATCATCTATTATGGGTGAGCAACCCATTTCAACCAAAAGGCCAAACGGTGAACAGTGAACATCAAAGGTCATGTAAATAGCCCCAATGCCCAATCCCAAGACAACAGAATAACTTATAATAAGAATTAACTTCAAAGCCATGCTATTTCTTCAAAAATGTCCAATGAAACCATAAAATTAAAAATAAGAAATTGGCATCCTCTTCTGAGATGGGAAAATCAAAACAATTAAAGGAAAAATGTTGAGATATATAACTTTTAAAAAATAATACATATTTTTCTGATTTCTCTATGTTTGAAGAGTGTATTTATTAGTATTGCTTATTTGATATCAATATAAAAAGAATGACCTTCTTATTTAACATCAAAATTATTTATTGATAAAGAAGCTACTAAAAAAGAAGCAGTCTTGTGACAACAATTGAAGTTGCTGTTTTGTGACTGGCCAAGGGTTCAGGTCGTGGAATAAGCCTCTTGCGAATGTAAGGTAAGTAAGTCTACAACATACCAACACTGGGTTCATCCCTTCCCTAGATCCTGACGCTGCGGGATACTGCATAAAAAGCATCGAGTGCAATGAGGCTCCCATCAGGGGGAATCTGGGGAGAGTAGATGTACGTAACTTTACCACCACAAAATGGGAAACCCCCATAAACCGAGAGTCTATTTTCAAGATTGGAACCTGTGACCTCCCCCAGATTACAAAGCGGCAACATTCCGTTGCGCCAAGGCTCACCCTCAAAGTGGGGATAGTGCATACTGGATACAATTTGATAATAATTCTGAGAGACAACATCGAAATGCATACAGTAAAGACATAAGAAAATATCAACTTACTTGGTATGTGAGAAGCTCTTGAATTAGTTTATCTTCATTTTCCTCACCTGGATTTCGTCAGAGCAGTATTAGTTGTGAACATTATGAATCAAAATATACACTTAAATAGAGTAATGCAGTGCTTTTACCATATTCCTGAATTACTTTGGAAACCAGTTCAGGACGAAATCCCATATTTATGAAACAGTCAAACACCTTTGTATTAGATGGACCTGCTGCAAATGTGTTTTCCTTCCAGGAGAGTAAAATGTATATTAGTACATGCATGTGATTGTGCAACAAAAACAATCACCATGCATCAATCCAAATTGTTAATCTCGAGATCTTTCTTAACTAAGGATTTCTATTCGGAATGTTACGAACTACCGTCCTCCACTCTACCAACTGAGCTAAAAAGATGCATAAAAGCTTACCTCTAGAGACCGAGATCCGGAAGTCTGTCCATTGGGAACAGCTATACACGAAGAATGAAAGCTTTCAATCTCTAGCTCATCTTCAGTATTCCAATCATAACCACCACTCTCAAGCCCAGAATCATCACTCTGCAATAAATGTTACATGATTATCGCAGAAACATATAAAACAATTACATACATTCACATTGCTGGTATCCCAAACCACATTCCAGTACTACTCACTACTCATAAGTAAGGACCCATAAAGCAACAAAATATAAACACATGCCAAATTGTGAATACAATTTTAAATTGATAAGTAAAGCATACCATTTTGTCTCTCAATTTCGCAGAGAACGGATCTTCAAGCTAATTAAACACAAAGCAAGAGAATATTAGCATCAAACACAATCAGCCCAAAGCAAGAATATTAGCATCAAACACAATTAGGCTTAAGTTATAATCTACTCTGAAGCCAAACTCAATTTTAATCAAGAACTCCAACACACTAAAATCTTATAACCCCTAGTGGTCCCCCAAATGTGAAATCAAAAATTCTTTACAACTGAAAACAGAAAAAGAAAATTCTAATCACACAACCAAAACTGAAACTTTTTTATTAACCCCTAGCTTTCCTTTCTAATCACAAGAAAGCTTGAATTTTGAAAAACAAAAAAACAGAATCACACGACCAAAGCATAACAACCTCCGAAATTGTTTTCTAAATCCCCAGTCTGAAAAAACTAAACAGAATCACACCCATTTCCACAAACCACAAAAACCACAATCAAAAACCCTAAATTGAATCAAAAAAACATTCATAAGTGACAAACAAACGTCAAATTCCCAACAACAAACCCGAAACCAACATGCAACAAATGAATCTTGTTACCTCTGTGAAAATGGCCACAACGTTTGAACTCCCTCTCCAATTTATCAACCAATTTCTTCAACCTCTGCAACAAAAAAAAACAGAAACCTTCGCTTAATTCACTAAATCCATTCATCGATTACACAGAACGAAAAAAAAAAGATTGAAAATTTGAAAGAAAACGAATACCGCTTCAGAATGAGAAATGAGAGAGTGAGAGAAGAAGAACAAGATGAAAGAGTTTTATTATGAGAGCATAAAACTCTTCAGAAATGAAAATTAAGAAAATTGAGTCACCGAGTGACTCATGAACAAACTCAATAACGCGACATTGCCACTCGCTACATTGTACTTTCGCATTTTCCGTTCCTCCGGTGGGACATATGAAGAGAGAGGAAAAATCTCAACCGTTCATAGTTCTTGATTAGAACAAAAAGGAAAATTTCCTCAGCGAGTGAGATTCATTCCCACTCGCTGAGAGTGAGATTGGAAAATTAGAATTTTTCTTTATTTTTATAAAAGAAATATAAAGTGATATGCAAATTCTTGAAAGTTGTAAAAGAGATATTATTGTAAAATACTTTATGTTAAAAATTTTATATTTATTTTTTATTTATTTATTTTTATAAATATAAAATGACATAAAAAGATCTAGAACATTGTATATATTAAAAATTAATAATAAAAATGAGGCTATCAAAGATGTGATAGTGTTTATTATTCAAAAATAATAAAATTTAATTAATATGTATTTACAATTTAAAACAGGTTTATATTATCAATGAATTATGGTTATTAAATATTTATTAAAATTTAATTTTTATTTTAATTATTTAAAAATAATATTTATAAATAAATATAATATATTGACTTTGGAAAGATTTTATACTGACAATATATAATAATTAATCTCAAAATAATATTAAAAGTTGCTACGTATTAAAGAAAATATTTGTGGTGATAAGATTAAAATGAAATTTTAATAAATAAACTATGAATTTAATTATTTTATATATTGATTATATATAAAAATAATAAATTCTATGATGAAATATATTTATCAAAAAAATTTAATATACTTAAAAATTTTAGAAAATTTTAACGACGCTATTCTTTAAAATTAATAATTTGCGATTTTTTCATTGTTATAAATATATGTTGACTCGATTTATCAAATATCTCTCTCTCTCTCTCTCTCTCTCTCTCTCTCTCTCTCTCTATATATATATATATATATATATATATATATATATATATATATATATATATATATATATATATATATATATATATATATATATATATATATATATATATATATATATATATATATATATATATATATATATATATATATATATATATATATATATTATTTAAGTAATAAAAATAAAAAAGTTATTATTTAAGAAATAAATTATTGTTGAACGAGAATACGAAAATATAATTGTATGAAGGGAATGAATAAACCTCTCATAAATAATTAAATTAATTTAAAAATTCATTTAATTTGAAAATCTAATCAACGCATGTCATATATTTATATCACTAATAATTTTTTATGAGAACAAAAAAGAAAATTTGATTTGTGATGAAATTATACTCGTCGAGAGTGAGATTGAAAAATTAAAAAAAAAAATTTCTTATAGTAATAAATACAGAGTGAAATAATTTTTTTTTTAAATTATAACGAGTTAGTGATATTATTGTAAAATAATTAATGTTATAATTTTGTATTATATTTTATCTTACCGGATCAGAATTGGACCGTCACAGCTGGCTCGAACTGGATTTGAATGAGATGAGGGGTACCTGCAAGACATTTCGATGATAAAATGAGAGACAGAATGAGCAGGTAAATAATATGTAGGTGTGTAACAAATGAATACCTGACCCTCTTGGAATAGAGAGTATTTATAGCCCCCAGTGTTGGGCCAAAGTCCCTTTATTGGACCGACCAGAGCTGGCCCAATAAAGGGACTGCCAGGTTCTACGTGTGTAGTGGGGACCCACACGTGGTCCCCTTCCTGGATGGTGCTCTGCGAAGAATGAGGAGGAACGAAGACGCGGTCTTCTCGGAGCTCTAAGGATTCTGCAGCATCTAGAGGGGGTTGAGTCTGCCCTACGGGGAGGATGCTCAAGCAAGGCTCGAGTTGGAGTACCCTCGGTCGGGGACGCTGCTCGTTGCGGGTAGCGGCGGGCATAACCGTTGTGGCCTGTAACTGGGTATGCTCGGGGTGGTCTGATTCCGAGCATAGCTCGAGGAACTGCTTGGATCTAGGCCTTTACTTGTGTTTTGGGCTAAGGCAGACCCAGTCCAGAACAGGAGCCCCCCAAGTCGTTGTTCCTGGCACAGGAGTTATGACTTGATCTCAGTTTGCTCTTTTCGCGGGGACCTCATGCCCGGCTCAGGGCTTTCCCCTTCGAGGCGTACTCGAGGAGCCATTATAAGGCCATTATTGTCTAGGTGAGTAGGTGTCGAGTAGTCCTTGGAAATCGAAACGCCGCCTTAATAAATAGGGCCATTATTGTCTAGGTGAGTAGGTGTCGAGGACGGGGGCGGTTCGTGGCTCCCCGGTGCGACGTTTCACATTCCACGTCATCTCTATAAATAGGATCCTTGGGCCCATAGTCTGCTTCACCTCTTCACGCTTCTCCTGCTTTCTCTGTTTTTACAGTCGTTGGTTCCCGTAACACCGTTGAGACCGCCGTACCGTTCGTCGTCCGATTACTCCCACCACCGTTGTTTCCACGCATCTTCTTCCAAGTAAGTATCCTTTCTTCCTGCTTCCCTGTGTTATAGATAGTTTTGATGACATTTTTTATAATAGAAACATGTATCCAAAAGTTATGCCCGGTAGATTTAAGCGCGTTATGCGCCTGATTCATGGTTGTGCTCGAGAGGCTCATAAGTTTAGGCATATGATTCATGATCTTGCTCGCGATACTCATGCGTTTGGTCGGTAGAGTCATGAGATTGACCGGGATATTCATCCTTTAGGTAGTATGTAGGGTAGTCTCCTCGCAGTGTTCTGCATCAAGTAAGCGGAATTATGAACTTAGTCGCGTGATTCAAGTTTCACCCGGGGCGCTCATGTTACGCTTGTGCCATTCATGATTGATGTGTGGTTGGTGTTGGGGTGTCGGTGTTTGGTTGAGATCCACTTGTTTCTCGTTTCCCTCGCGAATGGTTGTAGTTTTGATCTGAGTGTTGCTTACTTCTCCCCGCCTTTGTTGCGAGCACGCGGATTTGCTGTCGAATTCACCGGTTTCCTGTACTTTGCAGGTAAATGGCCGACATCCCAGAGTCCTCGGGACGAAATGATATCAAGGACGCAAGCACAACAGAAGAGAATGTTACCCTGGTCGACACCATCGACGACCCCACACTAGACTGGGTGGGCGCTGAGCCCCGGGGAATTGCTTCAGTGTACAACCATCGCAGAAGACGAGCTTATACCGTCGTCGAGTACGACGGTACTCAAGAAGGATTTCAACGGAATTTTAAAATAATGAGGCCGACGAGTGATGCTCGCATCTGCTCGGAGTTCATTGAAGATGCGTTCCCCATGTATGAGATTGTATTCAAGGATCTTGGTCTTCGGTTGCCTTTTAACGACTTCCAGGTCGGGGTGTTCAATCATTTGAACCTGGCCCCTTCGCAGCTCCACCCCAACGCGATCGCCTTTCTCTGGGCGTTCGAGCTAACTTGTCGTTTCTTGAGAATTGGGGCGATAATTCCCCTGTTCTTCAGGGTTTTCCATCTGCAACGCCAGTCTCGAGGAGGCAAACACAGTTGGGTATCCCTTAAGTCGTCGAGTAGACTGTTTAGGATGTATATGGACTCGGTGAGGGATTTTAAAGACAAATGGTACATACTGCAGTCGGCCATCCAGACGGCCCTAGAGTCTCTGTTTGAGCTGGCCACATTGGTCGACGAGGACGGGGAGCCCATTTTGGATGCTGAGGGTAGTCCCGCAGTCGGGAGGGTTTCCAGGTTCCCTATTCATTGGTGTTCGGGTCACTATGACCATGGTCTCGGGCACTATCATACCCCCGTGGGGAGATCGAGCGCCGAGGATGAGGAGGCTTATGTCGTCCTTTGTAAGTTTGTTGATGGGTTTTTCCCTGCTCGGTGGGTCACGAGGGATGGGGACAACATTCTCGATGAGGATGGCTACCCGATGTTCGAGGCGCGCCCTATCAATACCAAGGCGCTCATTGAATGCCAATCCTACGGACAGGCCGTAGATCTCCTAGGTTTCTTGCTCTTGCCTTTATTGTTATTCCATTTTAATTGCCTTTAATCGTTTGTAGCTAACCCTGGTTCGCTCTTCTTGCAGGTCACATGGCGGAACGTCGAGAGAGGTTGCTGAAGTTGACCCAGGATAAAAAGATAAGTAAGAGACCGGTGAGACCGTAGCAGGCCACGTGGATGGGCCCGCCCGCTGATTCGGGCAGAGACGGGTCTAGTGGATCCTTGGGTTCTCCCGACACCGAGCGACAGACTGAGCTGGTTAGCATGAAGAGGAGTCGGCCAGAGGGCGGAGCAGAAACTGGTGATGAGCCCGCAGCTGCCCGAGCTTTTGTCTTACTACCTTGCTTTGTGGAGAAGGAATTCTTTGAGGGGTTTCCCCTGACCGTGTCCGATAACGAGGTCGATGTCATTAAGCAGCTCGATAAGGAGGGTCGGAGGAAACACCTCGTCGTTAGCATGATCGGTGTGGTGAAAATGGCCGAGATGGTTGTGGTCCTTGCAGGGGAAGGATCAAATTCTATGGACCGGGTTAGGGAGCTGGAATCGGAGAAGGCGGCCTTTGCGGCCAAATCTCGCAAGTTAAAGGCGGCCCTCAAGCGGTCCGAGGAGATGTTCTGTGAACAGACCGACTTACTATCGGGGGAGAAGGAGAAGGCCGAGAAGGCTTTTGAGGAGAGGGATTGCCTGCAACTCGACAAGGAGCGGCTGGAGAGCGACAACCAACGGTTGTCCAGGGAGATTGAGGAGCTGAAAGCGGCTATGCTTCCTACTGATGACGAGCCAGTGGAGATAGCCTCTTTGCGCACACGCTCAGATTTGGTTGCTCGCATCCACCTCCTCGAGTCAGATTGCGTTGGTGCCTTAGCCGACGGGTTCGAGGCTGCGGTGAGTCAACTGTCCGTGTTAAATCTGGGCCTGAACACCGAGGGAGTCGAATTTCTATCTCAGATTATTGACGGCCAGGTTGTTCCTCCTCCTGATTCTCCTGATGTGGATGCCAGTAATCCCGGGGATGCTTAACCTCTAGTTATTGTTTATTGTTTGGGGGCATGTGTGCCCGTGTTCGTTTTTGGGGCCTGCGTGCCCGTGTTTATTCTTGATT